TTTTTCTTAGATTACTAAAATTGTAGGAAAGAAAGAAAGGTTGAGGTCAATACCGTTAGATGCCCTAAAGATAGAGGGCGTGCTTCAAATATTAAATTAAAGTGATTAAGATAAAAAAAAAAAAAAAACAAAGACACCCCAGGATCAAGTCGTCAACTACTTCATAATCTGATGAAGAAAAATGTTTCCGTCTCTTCTCCGCTAACTAATTTCCTCAACCACCACCTCTTTCTCTAACAAATCTGGTTGAAATTTTTGGGGTTGATTGTTATGCAACAATCGTCTTCTTCTCCACCACCGCAATCGGAAAGGCCACCGCCACTTGGCGTGCAGTGGACCAAGTTGACAGAGATGGACGTACATCCTGCGGTGGTCGAAGGGGATCCGACATCGTTGTCATCCGTCTGGGACTGGGACGATCTTCTGAACTTCACCATTGATGATCACTTTCCTGTCTCTTTTGATTCGGAGAATTTGGCTCCTCCTCCGGTTGAGATGGTGCCGGAAGTCGGGAGCCAGGATTCTGGTACGGACCGGGTCAGGAAGCGGGACCCGAGGATGATATGTTCGAATTTTCTTGCTGGTCGGGTTCCCTGCGCGTGCCCTGAGATTGACGAGAAGCTGGAAGAGGAGGAAGCAGGGATGCCGGGGAAGAAGCGGCCTCGGACTGTTCGGGGCGGGCAAGGTACAGCTCGGTGCCAGGTTCCAGGATGCGAGGCGGATATTAGGGAGCTGAAGGGGTATCACAGGCGGCATAGGGTCTGTCTTCGGTGTGCGAATGCCACTGCCGTTTTGATTGACGGAGAGAACAAGAGATACTGTCAACAGTGTGGCAAGTAAGCTCAATTTCATTCTTATTTGTTAATTTTGCTTTCTCGGCCATCTTATACTCCATTAAAGTTCTAATCCCGTTTAATTTCTCGTTAAATAGATGTTAAGTTAGTTCTGCTCAAATGGGATATAATTGATGTATCGAAATTGGTAAGCTGTTTTTGTTATTGTGCATCTCTTCTAAGTTCTAACTGTCTGCTTGTTTGTCAGATTTCATGTCTTGTCAGATTTTGATGAAGGTAAAAGGAGTTGTCGAAGAAAACTAGAGCGCCACAACAATAGACGACGGAGGAAACCTGTTGATTCAAAAGCTTCTGTTGACAAAGAACCTCAAGGAGCCGCGCAAAATGAAGACATTGATTGTGATGTTGAGGCAGGAAGAGGTGTGATAGAATTGGTTTCATACAGCTAGTAATGATAAATGGGATGGAGTGCTTTTGGTATAGGGGCAGCAAATTTTCTTTGTTGTCTAGCTGATATACAATTTTTTCATACAGATGGTTTATGTTTGAGCAGCCAGATAGAGGATCTAGAAATTCCCATTGAGTCTGAAGATGGACATGTTTCTGCTGTCCACTCAGATCCTACATTGCAGAATGTTAACGGTGATGGTGTTGTATCTTTTGTGGCCTCTGGAAACACTGAAATGGATAGACGAAAAGATGATTCTAAGTCTTCACTCTCCCCTTCTTATTGTGACAACAAGACTGCTTACTCATCTGTGGTGCGCACTTGATTTTCATTTTTCTTTCATTTCAAGGAAGTGGGGGTATGATGTATTAATTCTATTTTTTATTGTAGTGCCCTACAGGCCGGATCTCATTCAAACTTTATGATTGGAATCCAGCAGAATTCCCAAGAAGACTTCGGCACCAAGTATTTAAAGAATTTTCGTTACAGTTTAGTATTTAAATATGAAGTTTCTTTGTGTTTAGAAATATGAGGAGTTGATTGACACATTGCTAACTGAATCTTCAGATATTTCAATGGTTGGCCAATATGCCAGTTGAGTTGGAGGGTTACATCCGCCCTGGTTGTACAATCTTGACTGTGTTTATTTCAATGCCAAAGGATATGTGGGTGAAGGTAATGGTTCATTCTAATGTTCTTTGTTATTATTTTTTATTTTTATGTCATCTTTCTTATTTAAGGTTAGGTCAGTGTTAATCAAACAGACATATGAATACCTACTAATTCAATTTTCAAGCGGAATGACGATTCATCTTCTTTTCTTTTATTGTAATTACTAACTAACTACATGGGAAGAAATCTGCCTTCTTTTCCTTCCTGTCATTTTCCCCTTTTCCACTGCTTTGTTCACTTCACTCTTATATGTGTTAAATTCTTGCTTCCATTACACTAAATATATAGCTTCTTAGTGGCTTTAGTTGGTAATCTGCATTTAAATGCAATTACCTTATGTTTATCAGTTACAGGATGATGTGAATATGGTACATCCATCAATGATCAAACAATTGAAACCCCAAAAAGAAAGATGAAGTTGTGTTTGTTTTCAATTTTTGAAAATATATTGTTGATCTTTATGTTTAAGAAAATTACCCTCATAATACAAAATTCAACCTGTTGCCCTTGGAGTTGTTCTTGTACCTAAATTATTAAGTAGATTTAATGGGATCCTAACTTCAGTCTTTTACTGTGTCAAGCAGTTATCTGCAAATCCAGGGCCCTATATTGATGACTTTGTCCTTAAACCTGGGAGAATGTTATATGGGAGAGGCTTCATGACTGTTTATTTAAACAACATGATTTTTCACACTAGAAAAGGTGAGTGAATACCTAATTTTGTTTTTCCGTGTGCCATGCTGAACTTTGATATGTGCTCATAATGTCCTCTAATGTGAAATCTAATTCTTTGGGTATTCTTCCCTGAAGAATCTTGCTTGCACTAGTTATTGAATTTTCTCCCTCACTGAAGAACATTGATTGCTAAGTCCACTTAAGCTGTAGTAAGTAATAATCTATGGCCGTGAAATGTTAGTAAGAAAAATTAATGGATGTTTGAGGTATGATATTAATAAATCCTTACAGCCTCTTGTGAGAATTGTAAATTGTAAGACATATAGATTGCATTTTTTAGGTAAATTTTGGTTGAGCCATTTAATGGAGTCAAGTTATTTACCAGACAATACTGGATTTGCAGCTCTTTACACCAAAGTTCTTCTAGCATGCTTATCTTTTTAGTTTTAGATTCATCAGTTGTAGATGATAAAATTCTTAGAGCTTGTTTAAGTTGGGACTTGTTTGAGCTTCTTAATAAGACCATTCTCTGTGTAGATGGAACTTCCATGATGAAAGTCAATGTGAAGGTGGAGGCCCCAAGACTTCACTATGTTCATCCTGCATGTTTTGAGGCTGGCAAGCCAATGGAATTTGTTGCCTGTGGTAGTAATTTGCTGCAACCCAAATTTCGGTATGGACGTTGCTTTTTCATAGAGTACCCATATGAAACTTTCTTTTATTTCTTTTTATCTATATTGCATTTGGCTAATTTCTTTTTCCAGTCTCCTAAAATGACTACTTGGAAACTGACTTTGTTTTTATTTTTTCCACTTTTTTTTTTAATCATAATATTATGGTACTGTTGACCTGGAGCTATGTCGAGAATGTATTTGTCATGGTGACCCTAATGACATTTAGATCAATGATTCATTATTCTTTTTTTGTTTTAGGAGAAACATGATCTGTATATTTAGATTTTGTTTCTAATAGGCCTGTAAATTGGGCTAAATGCTGAGAAATCACAATTTCTAGTGAGTCATGTAAATAGCATACCTTGGTGAGTATCAGTTTGTCTAACCCTCATCCCTATTGGAAGGTGCCATGGCATGGTAATGGTTCTGAAGCTCTCTAGAAAGCTAATCCTTTATTGAATTGAGGCTAAAGGTGGTTCCTCACTTCACATACCTATAACCTCGTATGTTGGGGATTTGGATCATGAATGCTTCCGAAGTACTATTGTGTTTTATCAGCTTTCTAACTTACTGTAATCTTGAACAAACAGGGTGGTGTTTCACAGAAGCACTCATCTCCTTCAAAAGTCTCTGTGGGCTAGCTGCTTAATAGAAGCATTGGAGTTGTGAAATCGGTATTGATTTCTTAAATTTCTGACTGTGTGAAGAGCAAGAGCTAAATTGCCTGCAAAAAATTAAATAAATAAATAAAGAAGAAGAAGATGTTACAGTCATCCAATTATAGTCTGGTGACTCCTGGCCAAACATGTCTTAAGTTGCAGAAATAGTATTCTTTACCTGCAGTGAGTTATTAACTTATTGGTAAGGTCCAGGATAGGGCATGTCCTGAAGTAGCTATTCTTGTATATTCATTATTATATTTATTATAATTGTTACTTTGTTGATTGAGTTTATTTCAGCCTTTGGCATTTTAGCTTGGCTTCCTTTGAAGCCTAATGCAATTTAAAGCATGAGTCAGTGACATTCCTTTTTATGCAGCCTTTTCAATGAACTTCTTTAGACTTCCTGCCGGGTAAAGTATATTGTCATGTTTATTTATTGTACCTGTCCTGCTTTACCATATCTTCAAAAGTTTTTTTTCTTTCCTTGAAACTTTACATGTTCGAGGGTTACTATGCATTTGCATGAGTGTGATAATCTAGTTTTTAACTCTGATTTGTGTTTTCCTGATAAAAAGTAGTTAGGTATTATAATAGAAAGCTCAAGAAAGATAATCATGATGGCAGGTTTCTAATATCTTTTGCTGGAAAGTATCTAGCATACGATTATTGTGTCGCATCCTCACATGTTGAAACTGGAGGAGAATCTCTTATATGTGAGCATCAGCTATACAAGATACATATCCCTCACACTGAACCAGATCTCAAGGGTCCTGCTTTCATTGAGGTACATGTCCTTAAATTTGACCTTACATTTGTGATTTTTATCTCATTCTATACTGGATGTTTGATTGTACATGCATAATATGCTTCTGCTACGTTAGGGCCTGTAACCTGCTTATATTAGTGAAACCATCATTGATGCACAAAAAGCATTTGTATGAGTGAAAATGCAAGTCAAATTTTCTCTACTATTTATTCACCAATCTTGTTTTTCAAACTTGCTCTGGAATTTCATTAAGGCCTCTGTGAAGCTTATATCTTATCCCTTTGGCATGTTCATTTTGCTTATATTGTTAGAGCATGTTAGTGCCAAATAAGTTGTGTTATAGCTTACCAGTTCTTGATGTTCTTATGTCCTTAGAGTGGGAGATGCAAGGGAAAACATTTATGCTTATTTCTTTGATTTATGCTTTTTGGGTGGTATATTCCATGTACCATGTTGGGCTCATTAGTCATTGCCCCTATTTGTTTTTGGGCACTTGGCATTCACAGCCACCATGGATTCTCTGTTGCATAACACTCATACAATGTATATGTTGCTGTAATAGTCTTGGTATGTTCTTTGAATAATTGTTATTGGTTTTTTTTTTTTTTTTGGCTATTGATATGTTGTAAATGATCTTTTTCCTTTTAACCATGATATTTATTGTTCTTAACTTGATCTTGTTGAACAATTTTTTGCCTTTAAATTGTCTTGCAGGTTGAAAATGAGTCTGGGTTGTCAAACTTCATCCCTATACTGATTGGAGACAAAGAAACTTGTTCTGAGGTGAAGTTAATACAGCAGAAGTTTGATGCATCTCTCTTTCCAGAAGGATCAAAACCTGTGGCTATTAGTGGTCTGTCTAAGTTGTGTGAGGTTTCAGCTTTGAGACAAGCAGCATATTCTGAACTTGTTTTAGATATAGCATGGTTATTGAGGGAGCCAACATTAGAAAATCTTCAAGAGTTTATGATGTCTTCTCAAATTAAAAGATTCAATTGTTTATTGAATTTTCTAATACAGAATGAATCAGCCATCATTTTGGGTAGAATATTAGGAAATCTGAAGATTATGATGGACAAGATGGGATTAAATGGTGCAGTTAGTGGCATAAATGATGCTGATATGAGGTTATTGCAGAAATATGTGGATGATGCACAACTTATCCTTAATAACAAACTTCAGAAAAGTGAAAGTTCAGCTTTTCTGTCAGAGTATAACATAATAGAAAGCTATTGTTGCCAAAGCAGCTCTGAGGGTGAGAAGTTGTCAGTTGTTCCAATTGGGGAACCAATTGTTGACCAGGTGAGCTCTGAAAAGCTTGTTCAATATGTTTAATTATTTTTTCCCTATGTTACTGCTTAATGCTACCTTAAGTTGCACTATTTTCTCATTTTAAGGTTAGAATGATGTTTTTGTGTTCCAGCTTCTGTATGTCTAAAATAGCCTTGTAATTTTAATCAATGTTTTTCACTTGGAAAGCAAAAGAAAATCAAGTTTGTGCCTGTGTTTGAGCATTGTTTATTTTCCTTATTCATTAGTGCAGGCATTGTTTTATCTACTTCTGTTGTTCCTTACTTTGGTATCTAGAACAGTTTTTCCAAGCCCAGAGTTTTTATCTTCTATACCTACTTTGCTACGAACATCCAACCTCCCTTGCCACTTCCAACTTTGTCTTCCCCACTCTCTCCCTTTTTCAGTTTTCTGTGTTTTTATCTTTCAGAGTTAAATTGCTATGAAGACCTCCCCTTCCAAGTCTTTGTTTTTTTCTCCCTGCTTGCAAAGTGAACAATAGCAAATTTCTAGCATTTTTATGTATATGCCATGTTATACCAATACCAATGTTGAGAAAATTCTGTTGTATAGTTTTTTATAGCCTGAAGTAAGCTATAGGATGATGTTGTTTCTGTTTGGCTTTGAACTTATTTGCTTTCTCAATTTTTGAAAGGTTTTATTTTGGGCTACCAAGTAAGAAATGCATTTCATAAATATAGTATCTTTTTTTACCAACAACTTGTTGGTCTGAGTGGAAGGAGCTCAGTTTTTCTTAAACAAGATCTCGAGTTTGAGTCTTGTAAATGGAGAGACAGGTGTTGGGAGAACTTTCCCCTTTATGGGGTCTAACTCAGCTCAACTCTAAATTAGTTGAGGCTCAATGTGGTTTCAAAATACCAAGGGTTAGTACAAAAAATAATTTCTTTTTTATAAGAAGTTTTATATGGGTTGGAGTATCATTGTTCCCCCAATTAACATAATATCTTTTTCTCCATGCACAAGAAAAAAGAAAAAAATGAAATGCATTTCATAAGGGCTGGTCAGCCAGATAGAAAAAGGAGAGTCTAAAACTTGTGAGGTCTTTCCATATTACTTTTTCAAATTGTTGTTTAGCATAGAAAATGATATTATTATGTATGCAGGAGTTGGAGACAAGAACAAAAGGTAGATGGGGAATGTTGTTGGGATCAAATACTCCTCATAGAACTGAGACTCTTCCACTTCTAAACAAAGAAGTTGTGATGAATGTGAATGTTAGCAAGGAATGGCCAAGAAAATCATGTAGTCCTGTTTTCTCCACCACAGCCTGGGGATCTCGTCCTACTGTATTTCTAATTGCTACTGTTGCTGTTTGTTTTGGGATATGTGTTGCAATTCTCCATCCACAAAAGCTTGGTGAGTTTGCAGTAACAATAAGGAGATCTTTGTTTAACAAGTGTAAGATGTGAAACGAGGCCCCTGAACCAAACAATTGCCGTGGATCTCCTTGTATGTACTTATCTCCTGTATGTGAAACTAGATCTGATCGTGCTGTCCAGAGCCTAGAGCTTTGTCACATGAATGTGCTGGCTGACATGACAATTTTGATTTCACGGTACTGGTTCACCTTGTTGACTCCAATCCTTGTGTTGGATGTCCTGATGGTCATCTGCCAGAACCAGAACCTTGGTATTTCCATCTAAGATTGAGATGACAATAACTGTTCTTTGTTTAGCACAATCAGTCTCTGATCTCCGCTCATTTGAAGCATGAAGAGTTTATTTTGAGTTGCAGGTTTCTGATATTTACTTCTGTTGTACTAGTGCAATATTTAGAAAGGTTAGATGACATTCAGCTTGTATTGCTCACCTCAGTGTTTATGCTCGGTTCTACCCGTCTGATTAATGGACAATCGAGAATTTTACTAGGTATGAATCAGGCCACTTCCGACATGTGGATTGTCTGTACCATGAGTGAGGGGCCTCTCTGTTATGCTCCTAAATCTCCATTTTCTGTTAAAATGTATGAAATTCTCTCTGTATCATTTTTTATTTGTAATGGCTGAGCTCTATGGATGTAAATTCAGAAAAACAGACCGTTGATAAAACAAGCCAATCCTTCGTCTATGGTTTGAGGAACCAACCATCTAAAAGGTCATCGTGATGGCCAAAAACCATCCTCAGTTCGATCCTCCCTATTGGAAACATTGGCTTCGTCTCAACTCCACATCCCTTGTTTCATCTTATTGAGATAAATAAAAGGAGAGTAATAATAGGAAAAATAAAAATTTTAAATTAATGATATGGTGTATGTTACATTATTATATTAATAAATATATATAAATTATGAATCTTAAAAAAATAAAAAGAATCAATTATTAAATAACAAAAAATAAAAATAATTACTAAATAATATAAAATTTACTTTTTAATATTATAAATAACATAACTTATGTTATGTCATTGATTTTAAAGTTTAAACTCAAATTTTTCTTCTATTTATCATTATTCATATAAGAATTAAAAATAAAAAATGGAAAAAAAGTTTTAATATATTTCTTTTTTTATTGCAATTTTTAAAATCAAATAAAAAATTTTTTTTTTCTTTTCCTTTCCTTCCCCTCAAATCTAACATATCTAAGAAAACATTCGATCGAGGTTGCTGTGGGCAGGCTCAAGGCCCATTATCCGACCCGAATTCAAAAATCCAGTTCAGCAATCCGGTATTCGGAAAACCAGCCCGGAGGCGGACGGAAGGGTAGGGATGGTGCACCTGTAGTACGGAAGTTGAAGAGCAACGTGTCCTCTTGTTTTCCACCAAAAACCAAAGGTATAAAAATACGTCATCGTCTACCTCAAAAGCGCGCAATAAATGACGATACTCTAGACAAAGCTACTCTGTTTTCGGCTCTTCTTCCTCTGCTCTCCCTCCATCAACTTCCTCAAGTTCCTCGCGGATTCCAAGGTTAGATTCTGTTTTTTCACTCTTCCTTTCTGGAATTTCTGTTTACTTTCCGTTTGGATTCCCAGAAAATGACCAAAACTCTAATAATCTGGATTCTAATTGATCCATTTCAATTATTCGGCTGCATTACTAGATCAATCAACTTCTGCTTCGTATGAATCGTATCTATAGTTTCTTGGTAATCGTAGTCGCACTTGGTGTTGATTTCTTTGTTTTTGGTTTTTGAATCAGAGAATACAGTTGGTGAAACTGAAAAACTGAGTTGGTTGGTAGGTAGCATAGAAAATGAGTAGGATTCAAAAGGATATCATTGGTTGTCGTGATGGAAGTGACATTAGAGGATCATCTTCCCACGGGCAAGGTGTTAATGAGAATTCTTGTGGTCTTGATCATGAAATTGCTCAGCTCACAAAGCTTAGGTCGGGTCCAAATGAGCTCTTCCGCCGGGTTGTTCCTGGCGGGATGAAATTACCTGTTTCAACATTGAAAATGTTGGTTGGTAGAGAAGCTAATTACTCTGGAAGAGGTCGATTCTCATCCTCTGATGGTTGTCATGTGCTGAGCCGATACTTGCCTGTCAATGGTCCTTCGTTGGTTGACTGTGTGGAAAGCCGTGTATATGTGTCTCAGTTTTCAGCTGATGGTTCTCTTTTTGTTGGTGGATTCCAGGTTTTGTGCTAGTTCCTTCAAGCTAGACATAATCAGTGATCAGTGGTGAACCTGTAATCTTGTTCTTTGACTGATTTTCCATTTTTATTTGAATTAGGAAAATCTTGTTCGGATATATAATGTCGATAAGGGATGGAAAGTTCAGAAGGACATTCTAGCAAAAAGCTTAAGATGGACAATTACAGATACCTCTCTTTCACCAGATCAAAATTTTCTTGTAAGTGTTGTTATACTTTTGGGAAGGTATAAATAACGTAGATGGCATGGAACTGTGTTTATGTCCATGCTAATTATCTTATTGAATAACTGGCCATTTTTATCTGACTGGATGAATTACCATTTATTTTTCCACTGTTAATTTGATTCTCTGTCTTTTTCCATTTTTCTTAGCTTTATTTTCTTTATTGTAAATGTTGCAGGTTTATTCTAGCATGTGTCCTATTGTCCATATTGTGAATGTCAGATCTGCTGCAACAGAGTCCATTGCAAACATTACGGTATTTTTAGCACTTATGCTAGTTTTAAAACTTATGTATTACAAACAGTAGAGAAAACATGAATATATAGTGCAAAAAAGATATGACCATTTATGTTCCATTACAATAGTTTCTTAAAGTTTCATCCCAATCAAATGGATTATCTTTCTTGTTATAATTATCTTTGCATGCACTATATGATTATGAACTTTATGAAACAATAGAACTCCATTCTTTTCCCAGAAGTGAAGAAAATGGCATTTGGATGGTCTATAATGCTCAAAGTTGTTTATAGTCTTTCTGTTTTGGAAATTATAGTCTCACACGCCACTTGTTCTTCCAGTTTGAAATCTCATCTTTGTCTATCAATGGACAGTTTAGCCATATCTTTTATCTAATTTAACACGATGTTAACACTATTGCAAGCATCTGCTGTTGTATGCACCCTGTTGGGTCATTTGGGCATGGTTCATTACATTTAAAAAAGAGTTTAGAGGAAATGATTGTCAGTTTATGGTTTTTATTTAACATGTCTATATGCAGGAAATTCATGAAGGTTTAGATTTTTCTGGCACTGATGATGTAGACAATGAATTTGCAATTTTCTCTGTGAAATTCTCTACCGATGGGAGAGAGCTTGTTGCTGCCAGTGGTGATGATGCAATATACATATATGATCTTGTGGAAAATAGGCGTATTCTCCGCATCCCAGCTCATAAGGTATCTTAATACGTTTAGTATCCTGTAGGGGCTAACATGGTAGTACCAGTAGGATAACAAGTAGGCCTTTCTTTTTTTTAACATCTCAGAAATTTAGGCCATACCTCTGGGACCCGTTGCTGGGATTCATTTTAATTTTTATGAGGCTAGTTTAGGCTTTTGTACAATTTGAAAAATAATTAGAACAGTGAAGTGATTCTTGAAATCACTAGTCCATTGAGTTCGATGAATGGTGTAGAATTAAATAATAAACATCACTTCTACACTTTTTTCTCTATTTTCCCCTAGTTTTAATAGTCTCAAACTTGAATCCATTTTATCCTATCCTTTCCTCCTATATGTGATGATAGTTCTAATTATTTAGTGGCTCTTTTGGATAACATGGGTATTTGGACCTTTGACCCAACTAATCATGAGACTCTCTGAACTTGTTTTGCTATGAAAGTTTACAAGTTATAAGCGTGGCCTTTTTTTCTTTTGTTCTATCTTGCTTTTGGGGAAACTTTCAAAATGTATAGAGATACTAAAGTCTTATTCTGAATTCCTTTGGCAGTCTGATGTTAATACAGTATGTTTTGCGGATGAAACTGGCCACCTCATTTATTCTGGGAGTGATGATGGTCTTTGTAAGGTAATACTCAACCCTTTCCTCATAGAAAATTTGGTTAGACCTCCATACATAAAATCTGATTCTTTTGATTTTATCCAACTGATTCCTAGTTAACTTGATATGGGTATCTTACATTTTAGTTCATATTTTGGTGAACTGTACTTGTAATTATGCTACTGTTTTCTGAATGCACATGAAAGAAATCAAGTTTCATTCATTATTTGTGTTTCTTTGTTCAAAAGAGAATTAGTTGCATTTTGAAGATATGTATAGTCCACATGGTGCTTGGCAGAGACAGTTTAGTTTTGGAATTTAGGTACACTAGATTGTCTAATGCTAATGGGCCTAGCTGTTTTCTTAGATATGCTATTTTGATGTTGGTCAAATTGCCAGCCACATATACCACCAAGAAACTACTTACTTATTGGCCTGTACAGGTGTGGGATAGGCGTTGCCTTGTCAATAAAGGAAAAGCGGCTGGGGTCTTGATGGGACACCTAGAAGGCATTACTTTCATTGACAGCCGTGGAGATGGGCGCTATTTTATTTCAAATGGAAAAGATCAGACCACAAAACTATGGGATATACGAAAGATGTCCTCAAATGCAAAACGGTAAGCCTGCTAATCTCCCTTCTCTATCACATTCTTGCATAGTTGTGTGCATATTCGCGTTCGCTTAGGGTTTGTCTTCTAGCTATTTTCTTAGATTTTTAGAGTTATGGCTTTATGAGTATGTTTTGAGCAAATAGGTTGGTTTGAGGTTGCTAGGTGACAAGATAATGTGATTTCATCCATCCTAACCGCTAAAGATCCCTGTTTAAACTTAGTTCAACAATGGTGCAATGGGTGTGGATTCTTAGTCACTGACACTGTGAAACACTTGCTTATATTTGTCCTAATGAAGTATAATTCACAAATGGATTTGTGGTTCTTATTAGATCGATTAATATATATTTATATTCATCGTAACATGATTGAATTTTGTCTTTGTATCGTGTGTCAATATTAAACTTTATTCCTTCAACCAGCTTTCAGGGCCGAAAAAGTCATGGCTGGGACTACCGTTGGATGGCATACCCAGCCAGTTCAAGGAACTCAAAACATCCCAATGATCTGTCATTATCTACATACAAAGGTCATCAAGTTCTGCAAACTTTGATTCGATGCTACTTCTCTCCATCATATAGGTAATCCTTTCATGTGGACTCTAGTTATATTGCAGTAAGTTTGAATTGCATTTTTTTCTGGCTTCCAACTATTTATGTCCATTGAGCACAACACCTCTAATTTGAGTAATGTTGGTTATTGAATTAAGCAGTCTGATAATTAGTTAGTCTGGTTCAGGGCCTACGTTCACCTGTGAGCTTGTACATTAATGTTTGTATCATTTACAAAAATATGAAAATTTAAAAATATGTTTCTGACCTGGATAATTTTTTTTTTTTTGGCAGTACTGGTCAAAAGTACATATACACTGGCTCTAGTGACTGTCGTGTTTATATCTATGACCTTGTAAGTACTCAATTATGTTTTCTTCCATAATATTTGTGTTTCTTTCTAAGATTTTTCCCTTCTGATTTTTCTTGGGTGATTCCCAGTCAAGTGACCATCTATTATAATTTACTTGGAGAGGAAGTTTATAGACCATTGTGTGAGAGTGAAGTTTAGTTCTGCTACATTTGATGGGGTGTTCCAGGGAAGAAAAAGAAAGTTTTACAAGGGATGGAGCTTGAAAGTTGAAAGGTTGAAATTGTTTTGTCCAAGGTTCTTATTTACATGCTAAGATCCTTTGATGTCTTTCTCCCTCGTTTGCCCACTTTGATTTCTCAAATCTCTGATTCTTTTTTTTTTTTTTTTGGGTTGCACAATGGGGCCACTTGGGTCATTAGCTCAAATTCTCTGATTCTGTTTCTTAATCTCTATCTCTAGTTTGAGCTCTAATATTGTTTTTCCAGTCTTGCTTCAAAACTACTATACTTTGCTACCAAGCAAGAATTACAACCTACTTTCTTTGCAGGTGAGTGGTGAACTAGTGGCAAGGCTTGAAAATCATTTAGATTCGGTGAGAGATTGTAGTTGGCACCCTTTCTACCCGACAATAGTCAGCTCTTCTTGGGATGGTGTCATTGCTAGATGGGAGTTTCCAAGGGATAGCAAACCGCCATCAAAGTGGAACGCAATAAACAGACCACCTATCTTTTGAAGATCACAATTGCATCTGCAGATACAAGTTTTGAGGTATCATGGATGGTTCATTTTGCTACTTGAATAATGTCCCTAGTATCTCTGCCTTGGGGGATGCACAGCTTGAACATATGACTCATCTCTAGTTTTCCCC